AAACCAGATAGCATCATTACTACCATTATGACTACTGAAAATGGCTCAAAGGTTTCTGGTCATTATTTCTGTCCCCGGGGTTCATCCAACAGTGGGACTCAGTCTCCTGCTTTGGAGACACACGAGTAGTTCCTCTCCAGTGAATCTACCACCTGGATAAAGAACTGCATTCATTTGCTTCATTTTGCTTTTTTCCTTAGGATTCTGTTTTTAATATTTTTCTTTCATTTTTTGGTAATTATGCAAAACACTTGCATCATTCCAGAGTCAAAAATAGAATTCTGTGTCCTGTGGGAATATCCCTCAAGGACTGAGAAAAAAATGAAAAACAAAAACAGTCTAATTCTCAGGTAGGCAAAAACTGACAGTATACTATCTTCAGAAACATATTCAAACTCTAAAGTTATTCTATTTGATATATAAAATAATACTTCCCTAGAGAGAGAGAGAGAGAGAGAGAGAGAGAGAGAGAGAGAGAGAGAAAGAGAGAGAAAGAGAGAGAAAGAGAGAAAGAGAGAGGATAGATAAGATAGATAGATGGATAGATAGGATAGATAGATAGATACAAGGGAGGACCCCAATAAACTGGAATTATTTTTTTGGAAGACAGGCCCCCTGTAGTACAGGATTCTCCTTGCTAGGCAAGTGTTCTAGAAACTCATCTGCATCAGTGTACCAGTTAGCATTGCTGTGAGAGGCTGTGATTGGCTTCAGTGAATTTATTTTGGAAATTATTTCAATGTGTTTGCTCATTTCATGATCGGTGATTTACATAAACAATTTGCCCACACCCTGCTGAGTGTTCAGCAGTTTTTGATCAAAAATGGTATGACCCCTGTGCCTCATCCTTCCTATTCACCCAATCTTGCTCTGAGCGACTTGTTTTTGTTTCCCCAGATGAAATAAGTTCTCAAAGGGAAATGTTTTGCTGATATGGAAGAGGCAAAACAAAAAATGGCAGAAGCATTAAAAGGCATCAAAGTTGACAAGTTCAAAAACTGTTTTGAGCATGGGAAAAAGTGTCTTGATGGGTATATTGCATCAAATGGGAGAGTACTTTGAAGGTGACTGAAGTTCAAACATATAAGAATAAATACACATTTAAAAAAAATAAATAAATTCTGCTTTCTTTGGGTCCCCCCCTCATATCTATCATCTACCTACCTAGCTATCTATATTTATATGTCTGTATCTATATTTTTGTCTATGAGAAGGGGGACCCCCAAAATGGAAATATCTTTTGGAGGGTGAGCCCCTTGTGGTACAGACTTCCCCTGCTAGGTAAGTGTTCTAGGAACCCATTGGCATCAGTGTAGCAGCTAGTGTTGCGAGAGCCTGTGTTTGGCTTCAGTGATTTTTGGGGGGAGATATTTTCAATGCATTTGCCCACTTCATCATGAGTGACGTACAAGCACACCTGCCCATACCATGCTAAGTGTTCTGCAGTTTTTGACCCAAAATGACATGACCCCTGTGCCCCACCCTCCCTATTCACCTGATCTTGCCTGAGTGACATTTTTGTTTCCCCAAATGGAAAAAGTCCTCAAAGGGAAACGTTTTGCTGATATGGAAGAGGTAAAACAAAAAATGGCAGAAGCACTAAAAGGCATCAAAATTGGTGAGTTCAAAAGCTGTAACAGTGGAAAAGAGTCTTGATAGGTGTACTGTACCAAATAGAGAGTACTTAGAAGGTAACTGAAGTTTAAACATGTAAGAATAAATACACAATTTTTTACAAATTTTGCTTTTCAGGGGATCCCACTTGTATAAATATAGGTAGGTAGGTAGATAGATGATAGATAGATATAAATATAGATACAGATATGTAAATATAGATAGGTAGGTAAATAATAGATAGATGTAACTACACATACAGATATGAGGGGGAACCCCCAAACCCCCAGAATTAGCATTTTGGAGGGCAGGCTTCATGTATTACACTTGGAATTTGTTCCTTTGAATCAAATGGTCAACCAAAGTTTTTATCTGGAAGTTTAGAGAAGTCTGCATCATGATTTGTGGAAGAAATGTCCCAAGTTGTGGTACACAGATGACTGGTTCTTACACCATGACAATGCAACTGCCCATACCATGCTAAGCGTTCAGCAGTTTTTGACCAAAAATGACTTGATCCCTATGTCCCATCCTGTCTATCACCTGATCTCACCTGGAGTGATTTTTTTTGTTTCCCTGGATGAAAAAAGTTCTCAAAGGGAAACGTTTTGCTGATGTGGAAGAGGTGAAACCAAAAAATGGCAGAAGCACTAAAAGGCATCAAAATTGACAAGCTCAGAAACTGTTTTGAGCAGTGGAAAAAGCATCTTGATAGGTGCATTGCATCCAACAGAGTACTTTGAAGGTGACTGAAGTTTAAACACGTACGAATAAATACACAAGGCCAAGCGCGGTCACTCAAGTCTGTAATCCCAGCACTTTGGGAGGCTGAGGCGAGAGGATTGCCTCAGGGGTTCAAGACTAGCCTGGGTAACTTGGCAAGACCTAATCTCCACAATAAATTAAAAAATTAACTGGGTGTGGTGGCTTGTGCCTGTAGTTCCAGCTACTCGGAAGGCTGAGGTGGAAGGATCACCTGAGCCCAGCAGGTTGAGGCTGCGGTGGCAGTGAGTGTGCCACTGCACTCCACTGGGCAACAGAGTGAGACTCCAACTCAAAAAAAAAACAGAAAGAAGAAGAAATACATAATTTTTAATAAACTCCACTTTTGGGTCCCCCCTCATATGTAAATATAGACAGGCAGGCAGGCAGGTAGGTAGATGACAGATATAAATATAGATAATATATAAATATAGACAGGTAGGTAGATAGGTAGATAATAGACAGATGAGTCCAGAAATCCCTTTCTCCTCCATCTGGATTCCTCTTTTGCCATGGGTGACTGTTTTAATAGTTTGGAGCTTATCTTTGCATTTATAGCACAGGAGCAGTTGTGCACACATGCTGCTTTCCATGTGGGCGGTGGGAGGTGCCCTCTGTTCACTGTCCCCGCCTGAAGTGTTCTCATCGTCCTGGAGACAGACCTGTTTCTTCATGCAGCTGCTGGGGAAGGACTGACAACGTGGGCGTTTCCAAACCCCAGTGTTTGTTGTATCAAGCAGAGCTGTGGTGAATAGTCCTGCACACGAATCATTCTGTGTTTTTGTTGGTGCATTCCAGTCTTTCAGATGCCTTCCTAAAAGTGGGATTGGCCAAGAAGTAAAAGCATATCAGAAACAGAAATTTCAAAAGCTACATTATGTCTCATCCTGTGATGTACCCTCTTTTATTTAACCTTTGGGCCATTATTATTATTATTATTACTATTAGCGTTTCTGTTATAAATACTGTTGTGAGCACATTTGAGATCGCATCTCATGACATTTAGATTATTTCTTTGGGATGGATTCCTAGAAGCAAAACAGTGGGGTCAAGGACATGGGCCTCTGTACTAGACATCAGTCTACACAGCTGCTTTCTCACTGCATGCTCCCTGCCCATGGCCCCTTTTCTTGCCCAGTCCCCACTTTTTCTTCCCTGCCCATATGATCCTGTGGCTTACACCTCCTCAGTGACTATCTGAAGCCTCTAGAATGAAGGTGCAGCCCCCTTGCTGCCCCCACCAGGCCCTCCAGAACTGGCTGGTGCCCATTTGTGGCCCAACCTCACCTGTCATTTCTTGCCACACCCCCACCTGCCTACTCACCCCACTGAGCTACTCTAAAGGTTCTTCTGCAAACAGTCCTGCTGCCCCCACCTCCGAAGCTTGCAGAGTGAAGCTGTCCTCACACATTTCACTTGTTCGTTTCAGCTTCTGCATCCTCTTCCAGACTGCAAGCTTCTTGTGGGTGGGGGCCATGTGTCATGAAGCCTCCTATCCCCAGTGCCCAGGCCTGAGATGCTCAGGCAGGTGTGGCTCATGGGTGGAGGCCTCTGAGGTAGAAGCCTTTCCTGTTTCATGGACGATGGCATGGGCCCTAGGGAATGCAACGTCACCATTGTTCAGTGTTTCAGGCCTTTGCCTGAGCTGTTCTGCCTCCTGTGGTCACTTAGTGACCTATAGGCATCTCTCAACACCACCTTGGGAAGATGTGCCGGGCACCTTGCTGTGCTCCCTACACTGGACATGTGGCAGTTGCAGCTCATTGGTCCTTACCTGAGGCCCTCCTGGGCACTTTCTTTCCTCTCTATTCTGAGATTGTCCTGCCCAGATGAAAAGACCTGGGAAGCAAGGGTTAGCTGTTCCTACTCTCTTCCTCTTGTCCTCCTCTTTCTCCTTCCCTTCCCTCCTCCTCCCCCTTTACCTCTTCTCCTGTCCTTCCTCTCCTTCCTCCTCCTCCTCCTTCTCTTTTTTCTCCTTCTGCTTTTCCTCATCCTCCTGCCCCTTCTTGATTTATGCCTGCTGGAGTCTGTCTGACCTGCTGCCTGCACTTCCTCCCCACACACTGCCACTCCAACATTTTGAGTGCCTGGGCTGGGCTCTCTGAAATGAACCCATACTTTGTGTCTTGGACACAGTTTCACCTTGAGTTCCTCTACCATGTTCTCACCTTTTCAGAGACCACCCCAACTATTCTGGCCCTCCACACCCCTCCACACTCTCTCCAGAGTGGCTTTCTTCGCTGATACATCTGACATTTATGTGTTTGCTTTCCTGTTCCTAGAGTGAGGAGAACTGCTCTGTCAGTCTGTCTTAGTCACAGGGCCTGGTAGCCTAAGCCTCTAAATGTTTATTGAATGAATAAATAAATCTCCTAGGAAAATGTTTTCTTCTTTGGAATTTCTTTTCTTTTCTTTTGTAGAGATAAGATGTCACTATGTTGCCGAGGCTTGTCTCGAACTCCTGGGCTCAAGCAATTCTTTTGCCTCGGCCTCCCAAATTGCTGGGATTACAGGCGTGAGCCACCATGGCTGGCCTTGGAATTTCTTTAGACTTGATGAAGCTGGTCATGGTGTACAGGTTTGCTGAATCATTTCTGCTTGGCTTTATTGAATTTTCTTTCCAGGGGTTGTACAAGGCAGACAAACGGTTCGGTCCAGGCATCGAGACCTACCCTGATGGCAGCCAGGATGTTGGGCTGTGGTTCCGGGAGCACCTCATCAAGCTGTGCACCAGGATACCTAGTGGCTTCTCCCTGCTCAGTTACCCTGAGTTCTCCAGCTTCCTCACCTGCACTTCTGCTAGAATCAGACTCTCAGAAGAGGACACCATGAAGTGGGGCCTGAATGAGGGACAGGACCCCTTTTTCTATGAGTATAAGCGTTTTCTTCTGAATGAAGACCTAACGCTGCCTCCAGAAATGCACATTTACTCAACTGACAACTGTCATCTGCCCATGACATGCTCTTTCCGCAAAGAGCTGGATGCCCAGATCTTTGTTCATGATATACCTCCATTCATCGAGGATGGAGAGCCCTGGTTTATAACAAATGAGACCCCTTTGTTGGTCAGAATCCAGAAGCAAACTTACAAGTTCAGGTGATCAGTCTATTCTTGCTCCTCCATCCCAAGGTGGGTTCCTGAGGTCCTCAGCTCCAGTTGTTGCTATGGGCCTTAGTAGCTTCCGGGGCTGGCCCTCAGGTTAATGTAAATGCACTTCTCTCATTAAGTGACTGATATAGCCCGATAATGGAGCGGGGTGCAGCCTCCACCATGATTGTGAGCTGTGGTGGGATCCCTAGGGAGGGGAAGGCGATGGGGGAGCCATCCATGCCTGCATAGAGGAATAGGGGTCCCAGGATCCCACCCACCCACTCTTAGGGAAAGGCATGAATGGGAGGCTGCTTGCTGAGCATGTAGCTAGGGGAGGCCCACATCTGGTGTGGAGCTGGGAAAGGATGTTGCCGAGGAGATACTCCTGAGTTTGTGGAGGTAAGGGCAGATTCTGGCTCTTGGACCAGTGTACATTTCTTCTCACATAGGTCGTAACTAGTGCCCCTTGACCCCCATGGTCATGTTTGTGATGAGGTGTTTATGGGTCCAGTCTCTGCTTGGGGTTGACGTGGAGATAAGGGTTTGTTATTACTGATATGTGTTAAGGCAGGCTATACCTGAGAGCCAAGAGTGGGAGAATAGGGCAGGAATGGCAAGCTGCTAGGCCTGTGGTTTCTCCAAGAATAGCCTGAAAAGCCGGAGCTGTGCTGCTGGTCTTCAAAATACTCTCCCACCCTACCTGGAGCTCCAGAAAAATCAACTGCCACCTAAGGAGAACTGTTAATTTCTGGGCAACATGGCAGCTGTTAAATTTCTGGGCAACATGGCGAGACCTTGTCTCTACAAAAAAAAAAAAAAAGAAAAAAAATTAGTTAGGCATGGTGGCACACTCCTGTAGTTCCAGCTGAAGGCTGAAGCAGAAGGATCACCTGAGCTCAGCAGGTTGAGGCTGAATTTGCTATGAGCACGCCACTGCACTCTAGCCTGGGCGACAGAGTGAGATTCCACCTGCCTCCCCCAAAAAAGGAGAAGGAAAATTTAAGAATACTGTAATTCCTTCCCTAAACTTTATCTTCAGATATCACTAAACTATTTTAGAATGCATATTTCTAAGCACAAGTGACTATTTGCCATCCATCCATGTAACACTCATTCATCTATCCATTCACTGATACAGTCACCCACCAACCATCCATTCATTCATCCATCTATGCAAGCATCCATCATTCACCCATTCATTCATTCACCCACCCATTCATTCGCCCACTCATCCACCCATCCATCCGTGCAACCGTCTACCATCTATATAAGCAACTGTCCATCTGTCCATCCGGCCATCCATCCATCCATCCATCCATCCACATAACCCTTCATTCATCCATCCAACGGTTCATCCACCCATCCATTCAGCCATCCATCCATCATGCTAACATCAACTGAGCCCCTAATTGTTTAGGACCATTAGGTAGAGAGGTCACTGTAAATCCACATATTCTTGGTTGTGAATGGGGTTATGTACACGCAGGAGGCTTCCATGTTGTGTGGTGAATAAGTTGTGGGACATGTGTGTTCTTGTTAAACAGAAATAGAATGAGCAGAGGGTAGAACATGGATGTTGGTGCTGAGAGGTGGGCCTATATGTGTGCTGACCTTCCCCACACCAGAACCCCTGCTGTGAGAGCCCATTTCTCAGCAAACACAAAATGACTCAGATGAATCAGAGATGCACAGGGTGCACTTGCAACCAGCATGTCCCTGCTGAAACAGATATTTAGTCTGAACATTTTTACCTCCAGGTAGCATGTCCCCACCACCATGTGTACTGCAACTGACTATGACTAGCTGAGGATACAGCCATCCAGGCTCAGGGTGTTCAAGCAGTGAACAGTAGGGGGAGAAAGAGGGCCCCATGCATTGAGGCAGTGGGGGAGGGAGGGGCACTGAGGAATGAGGAGGGAGGCTGCCTGCCCTGGGCCCTTTCTGGTGGGAAAAGGTGCTGGGTACTGCAGAGCCTAGTCCTGTTGTGTTGCCAGGAACAACAAGGCCCACACCAGCTGGAACATGGGTGCCATTCTGGAGGGGAACCGCAGCTGCTTTGCGTGCCACGGGCCCAAGGAGCGGCTTTCCATGGAGATGATCCTGAAGGCCGAGGAAGGAGACCACGACTGGATTTATGGGATCCTGAGGGACAACTTTGTCAGCGCCGATGTGGCTGATGCAAAGGGCTACACTGTGCTTGCCGCAGCTGCCGTAAGCCCCCTGACCCTCTGGTCAGTGCCCATGGGAGGGCTCAGCTATGAGCATCATACGCGAGCATTGGTTGTCTCCCTCCCACACTCAGGAGAGGAGTAAAGTATGGGGGGCACTGATGTGTCCACATCTGCTCTTCCCCATTAAGTAGAAACCCACTCAGCTGAGCATGGTCAAAGGGAAGAGAAAGTCTTGGGACAAGGTGACCTTTCCATTCCTCTTTCCATACTTGTCATCTCGCCACCAAGCTCCAGTGTGAACATCACTCCCTGCACTACCATGGGGCAGCCTCATGGGGGGCAGCAGGATGCCCAGTGACCCTTCTCACCCCTTACCTAGGGTCAGGTGTGCTATCGTGAGTCTGGTGTCCTCTTCCTCCAGGTGCATTGTCACAATGACATTGTCAACCTTCTCCTGGACTACGGGGCTGATGTGAACAAGTGCTCGGATGAGGGCCTCACGCCCCTCAGCATGTGCTTCCTCCTCTACTACCCTGCCTGCTCCTTCAAGCCCAACATTGCTGAGAGGACTGTGCCTGAGCCCCAGGTCAGCCTGTGTGGCCACTGTACCACCCACTGTGCCTCCTCTGTCCTCTGTCCCTCTACCTGAGTGTCCACCCTGCCATCTCCCTCCTCCTGCATGGACCAGGCTTATACAAGGCAGATTAAAAGAGAAGACCATTGGGAAAGAGGACAAAAAGACAGAGCCTGGGCATCCCTAAGGTGTCCTGAGCCCCTCACTGCAGATGCTGAGGGATATGTGTCCCTTTTGTGCCACATGCACAGCAGCTCGGAGTCCTGAAACCTGCTGTGCAGGAAAGGGACTCTGTGGAGAGAGGGAAGGCATCTGCAGCAAAGTCCTCCGGGCAGGGCCCAAGAATCTGAATTTTCAACAGTTTCCTGGTGATGATGATTAGGCTAGTCTAGTGATCACACTTTGAGAGCTGTGACTCAAAACAAAAACAGGCAGAGTGCAGTGACTCATGCCTGTAATCCCAGCACTTTGAGAGGCAGAGGCAAGAGGATTGCCTGAGGCCAGAAGTTTGAGAGCAGCCTGGGCAATATAGTGAGATCTCATCTCCACAAAATATCAAAAAAAAAATTAGCTGGACATGGTGGTGCACATCTGTAGTCCCAGCTACTTGGAAGGCTGAAGCAGAAAGACCACCTGAGCCAAGCAGGTTGAGGCTGCAGTGGCTATGAGTGTGCCACTGCACTCCAACCTGGGTGACAGTGAGACTCAGACTCAAAAAAACAAAAAACAAAAAAAAAACAAACCATGGAGAACAGCACTACATATCAGAAATACAATTTTTTGAGTGGTCATATGAAAAAAGTAAAACAGAGGAAATTTATTTATTTATTTTTGAAATAGAGTCTCACTATGTTACCCAGGGCTCCTAGGCTCAAAAATATCCTCCTACCTCAGCCTCCCAAGTAGCTGGGATTGCAGGTGCCTACTACCATACCTAGCTAATTTTCTGTTTTTTTTTTCCCATAGAGACTGTGTCCTGCTTTGTTGCCCAGGCTGGTCTCAAACTTTTGGCCTCAAGTGATCCTCCCATTTAGCCTCCTAAAGTTCTGGGATTACCGGCATGAGCCATAGTGCATGGTGGGGGAAATTCATTGTAATAATATTCTTTCTTTAGCCGAATGCATCCAAAATATGGTCATTTCAGTGTGTATTTAGTACAAAGAGCATTAGCAAGACATTTGCCACCTTTTTCTCAGGCCTCCCCTTCACACTTGCAGCCCAGCCCAGCTGTGGATGAACCACGTGTTGTGAGCTCAATGACCACTGCTGGCTGCACTTCCCTGGCCCATGGCCAACTTAGGCACAGGTTTCTGTGTGATGACTTTGCAGGTGTCTTCTTTTCTCTTTGAGGGTTTGTGGAAAGGTACCCTGGCAGGACAGCTTTGGTCTTTGGAGCTCTAGGATACGGGCGTGTGTCCTTGTGGAAGAGGGTTGTAGGATGGGGTTGTCACTCCGAATTTTTTTTTATTCTAATGATACTTTTTTGATTCTTTCCAAAGGAACCTCCCAAACTCCTAGTCGATCCAACCCGTTCGTTCTCATTGGAGCAGATGAACATGGAGTCTCTCTGCTGTGAGGTGAACGCGCCACTTGAGGGTAACCCTGAGCTGAGGCCACAGCTGCATGTGTCCAGCAGTGATGAGGGCGGCCCCTCCCAGGACATTGGACAGTGTCAACAGTCCATCGACCTGAAGAGCAGCTCTCCCAAGGATGGGGACTGCTTGTCAGTGAAGGACAGCATCAGTGATATGGGGAGAGGCCCCGAGGACATGTTGGGAAACTTGGACAAGTGCACTCTGTGCAGCAATGAGACAAACTTCGACTCCAACGTCTGTGTGCACAACTTCTCCATTGTGCTCTCGCGGGACATGTTGGAGAAGAGTGCCGAGGCCCACAGCATGCTGAAGGCCCCCTCCCTGGATGCCACCTGCCCGGACAAAGGGACCATGAGGAGAATGGCGCTGTCCATGGTCGAGTAAGTCACTGGAATATGGGCTGGCGATGTCTGAGGGTCATATTTAGAGGAGAATCGTGTGTGCGACAGAACTGCATCCTTTCCCTGTACCACTGGAAGGCAATATTTCCAGAGATGTGTGTCCGAATGTTTGAATGTCAAGCCTTCAGGGAGGCTGCAGTGGAGGGTGGTTGTCAGTGCTGTCGCAGCCCTGGCACAACCTTTGGCTACATTAAAACCAACTAGTCTTTCTCTGCCTTTGTTGCCAGGCAGTATATCTATGGAAGTCTCAGGGTGCCCAATGCGGGGAAGCTCTAGCCATGGTGTATATGAGTGACAGGTGCCCAGACACTCCAAACACCCTACCCCACACACCCCACACCAATTAGACCAGTGGTCTCAAATGTGGTCCATGCACCCCTAAAAGTCTAAGATCCTTTAAGCGAGACTGCAAGGTTGAAACGATTCTCATAATAACCCTGACACTTTAATAGCCTTTTCATTGTGTTAAAATTTGCAGATGGTTTATATACTGTTGGCCCTCAGCATGGGTCAGGCAGCAGTGCCCAGCACTGTATCGACTGGGCATGGCATTTCTTTACCATGGGCACACACTCAAGAGGATGTCAGTGTTAAGAATGCACTTACCAAAGCAGGGAAAATGACTAATTTTATTAAATCTTGATCTTTGCATACATATCTGTCTAATATTCTGAGTGACTAAAGATGGGAAGGATGTATGAAGCACATCTGCTGAAGACCAAAGCATGATGGAACAGATCTCTCCAGGAAACCCTTCTCTAGGGCTGGAGTAGCAGATGGAAGGAATTTGTCATCTCTTCCCCCGGACACTAATTTTGATAACACAAAACAAAACAAAAATGACCAACTGGCATGTGTTTGTTCATTCTTCTAAATGTATTCTGTTACTTTAAGGAAAACATCTGACAATACTTGTTACCAGTAACATTTGCATTTTCAAGCAAAAATTAGAATGTTGGACACTTGCATCCACCACTGAGTCCTTTGTAGCTTCCTTTACTTTGAGCCTTAGATGTTTAGAGATTTTACAAGCGAGATGGCATTTGGGAGTGTGGTTTTCTAATATTGTCGGATGACACGTGCCAACATTGGAATGGTCTACATCTGTCAGTGAACCAGATTTTTTCCACATGACCAAGTTCTGATGTCAAAAAACCACACACGATATGTAGGTGAAGATGTGACACATAGGTGTGGATGCGTTCATGGTGAGAGGTAGACTCGTGGGTTTTAACGTAGCCAAGCACAGAAAGCTCACTGCTGCAGTTTCAGGTTCCACATTGTAGCTAACTAGACAACTGCTTATCTAGTTTTCATATAGTATCAAACAGGAGGATCCTCAATGGTCTGAAGGAGCCATGAATATCCTCTTCCTTTGTTCAGCCAGGATCTGGGCAAGGCTAGATTTTTTGCATTCACTTTCACCAAAGCAATGTATTGTAACAGGCTAAGCATAGAAGTGGATCCCGGGAACTTCCACTAAAGAGATTCGCAAACAGTATCTTCCTTTTCACAAATTGTTTTTGTTGTGTAAAAGAGAATAATTTTTGTCTGGGTACAGTGGTTCACTGTAATCCCAGCACTTTGGGAGGCAGCAGCTAGAGGATTGCTTGAGCCCAAGGATTTGAGTCCAGCCCGGGCAACTTGTTGAGAACTCATCTCTACAAAAAATAAAAAAATTAGCTGGGTGTGGTGGCACACAACAATAGTTCTAGTTACTTGGAAGACTGATGTGGAAGGATCACCTGAGCCCACCAGTTTGAGGCTGTAGTGGCTGTGATTGTGCCACTATATTCCATCCAACCTAGGTGGCAGAGTGAGACTCTGACTCAAAAAAAAAAGATAATTTTTCATTAAAATGTTATTTATGATAACACAGAGTGGGTTTGGTGTTGCTCCTCTAAAAATAAAGTTAGTACACATTTTTATAGTTCCTGAGTTTTAATTTGTAACGCAGTAGACATGGATAGACAGAACCCACATAAGAAAAACTCTTTGGTTCTAGGGTGTAAAGAGGTGGTGTCTCAGCTCCTCACCTACAGCTCACTTTCCTCCTTCCTGCCCTTCTTGCTCTGCCAAGAGAGGCTGACTGACCCTTTCCACTCCTCTCTGCCCACTCGACCCTGCCTACCGGGTCATATCCCACGTAGTTTCCCTACTGATGCTGGCCTACCTTCTGCTTTATGCTTTTCCTAGAGGTGTTCGTGCCTATGTGTATGCAAAGTGTATGTATGTGTTGTGTGTTTGTGTGTGGTGTGTACTGTGTGTGGTGTGTGCTGTGTGTCTGTGGTGTGTGATGTATGTGGTGTGTGGCACACATATATATCACACAGCATCCCTCCCAGAGCATTCTCCTTCTGGGGTGCCTCTCCTGCCCTGTCCTGAGGGATACTGCCCAGCCTACTGGTGCTGAGGCCACCTGTTCTTTCCCTCCAGAGAGACTATGACCATGTCATGCTGATCCTTTCAGACAGAGAAAGAGGTGGCTGACCATCCAGTTGCTGCTGCACCGAGGCGCCGATCCCAACCTGTGCTGCGTGCCCATGCAGGTCCTGTTTCTCGCTGTGAAAGCTGGGGATGTGGATGGGGTGAGGCTGCTGTTGGAGAACAAGGCAAGGACTGACATCCAGTTACCCCTGCAGGTAGGAGTCGGCTGTCAGTGAATGAGTGTGCAGGTGAGGTGAGCGCCAAACTAATGCAGACTCCCAGGCATGGGACATGGGACCCGGGCATCATCACTGCACCATAGTCGGTAGGGGTCAGAAGAGAAGGGCAAGACCCCCACAAATACAGTGGGGCTGGTCCTTCTGGCTGGCAAACACCTGGTCTGTGGATGTTGATGACAGCACTGAAGGAGGGAGTCCCACTGCTTGCTGTTTTACTGGTGTCACCAGACACTACTTTGAAGCCATGCTTGTCTTTACACTATTTCATGACCTACCTAATTTTCGGAAATGTGTCCCATTGTTTGAAGCAAACTTGGGAATAAATGTGTCATGTACGCACCTGGTAAAGGGGAGACTTGTATTAGGAGGCAGACCTGGGTCATCCCTTTCACAGGAGTGAAGTTAGCATCTTCACAAGGACACATGCGTGAAGGCAAAGGGTTTTGGCCTTGTGATTCTATCTTTAGCCCAACAGATCCAGCCAGCAAAATATTTAACTGAGGAAAAAACCCCATAGATTTCCTACCCTAAAGGGAAAACACATGCATCTTGTTTTCTGTTTTTCTTTTTAGAGAAAGTGTGGCCTTTCCTAGAGGATGATTTCTTTCTACTCTGAGGCCGTCTGCCTTCCAGCAAACATATTCCCAGGAGCGTTTTGCTCTTGAATAAATTAACATTTGTTTGGTGCTAGTTCTTTGAAGAGAGAAGAAAGATTAGTGTTTATGCCAGTCCTATTGTGGATTCAGGGCTTTATGGGCTTTGCTTGTTCAAACAACTCTGCTTTTCTCACCTGTCCCCCTGGCAGTGGCACTGTCTGCCTGGCCCCAGCTGCTCCCAGCCCTCTCTACAGCACAGCTCCTGGAAGCCCCTTCCTTCTTGAATTTTCTCTGTCCTGGGTGTGGAATCAACCACTGTGACTCCTTTTTTTTTTTTTTTCCCAGGTGAAGAGTCTGGGGCAAGGTCAGGCTTTGCACAGCTCTTGTCAGCCTCCAGGGGTAATTGTTAGGTCACCCTGGGGACAGGGCAAGACAGATGTATGACAGCAAGTGTGGGATCACTGTAGCATTTCCTGATCACTTTAACATTGTTATATGTTGCATTTTGTCCTTCTGCTCAAATTTCATTGTAGTTCTTTCCCTTGGTATTTCAAGGGGCCCTGCAATCATTTCTCAAACTAAAGATCTAGACCCAAACCATCACCATTACCTGTTCTGGGTATCCTTCAGTCCACACTCAAGAAACAAATGAAAACTATCAACAGTGGTGATAAAGATTCCAGATGGATGACAAAATCCAGCACCAGGGCCACCTTTGGGTGCCCCCAGAATGGGTGGCATGTGATGCATATTGAGAATGTCCTGCCATTTGCTGTGGAACTCACTTGCAGTGCTTTGCTTTTCTCTGGCTGTGTACACACTTGTCCAGTCGGTGGCTACAGCCCTTACTTTGTTCAGAGGGTGTTGGCGGTGTGACAGCTGGCGGCATCTTTGCTGTCTTGGAGCGTGCCTTGCTGGTCGTGGCTAAGGCAGCACCTAGTACCCGGGAACTGGCAGGTCTCACTATCCAAGTCCCTTTTTCAGGCAGTTGGTTTCCAGCCCTTCAGCTTGGAAATTAAACTTTTCTTCTAAGTGTCAGGTTATGCTGAAAATGAAATTTTTGGTTTAAGACCCAGGATAATTTTATAACTATTTAGGATTACTCATTGAACTCTGTCTTTGAAACTAATCAGTTTACACTTGGCACTGACATGCTTCATTTATTCATCCAGTTATTCCTAATCAGAAATACATTGTATTTCAAACAGTTAAAAAAATTAGAGTATTTGAGTAGGTTCAGAATTGCATACCTATTAGGGGCACTTGAGAACACCACTCCTCCCTATGCCCTGCCACTCCCTGAAGTCTGGGCCGAGCTGACCGGTGTTGCCGGCTTCAGGGTATCCTTCCAATGTGTGTATGCATCTCCCTCATCTGAAATGCTGGGCCATTGTCTTGATGCAGGTGATCCTGAGCATGGAGCCCAGATAGGGCGTGGGGCAGGTGGTTGATGTGGGGGACATCCCAGGAAGTGCACATGAGGAAAGGGAGTGAGCAGGGCCAGGAGGAGAGTCAGCAAAGGCTGCAATGGTGAGCAGGTGGGTGACGGATTCCATCCCCCTGGGCATGGGAAAAGTCCTTGAGGGATGTGAATGCTGTACTGTTACCCACAGAGCATCCCTTAGGACTGAGGCTTACTCCTGGTGTTAAACCCTCCACCCTTCTGTGCTGTTCTGAGCCCAGGCTAAAATGCTTCTAGGGGCCAGATAGTCATCATATGGAAGCAGAGACTTGGGTGTCCGAGGTGGGAGCAGATTCCAGGCCAGCCACTCCACATTCTTTTTTTAATTTTTTATGTTTTGTGTTGTATGTATTTTTTTGTAGAGACAAGGACTCGCTGTGTTGTTGTCCAGGCTAGTCTTGAACTCCTGGACTGAAGTGATCCTCCTGCCTCGGCCTCCCAAAGTGCTGGAATTACCGGCATGAGCCATGGCACCTTAGCACCCCAACTTTTTTTTTAAAGCTGCATGTATTTCATTGGATTTTTTGGATTCATTTACCTGGTCCCAGTTGACTGTTGATACTGTTTGCTTCTTTGCTGAGACAAAGGCACTATGAAGAAAGCAACCCAGACCTGTCTAGAAGAATAAGTTCCCTAGAGTGGTCTTGGTGGCTCCATGCATTTGGCATTAGGAGAGCAAGTGCCAAATGACCTTCCTGTGACTTGTGTCTGTCACACTCCTACCAGCAAGGCTGGTCGCCACACAGAGCTACTGCCCCCCACAGGTAGAAAACAATACCCCGGCATGGCTTAAATTTGCATTTAAGCCATGGATGGTGAGGTTGAGCATTTGTGCGTTTAAAGCCATCCATGGCCCCTTTCCTATGAACTGTCCAGACATTGTCCCTTTTGCTCATGGGGGATGTGGGGACACTCATTGCTTGGCTGTACTGTCAAGTCTCCCAGAAGAGCTGGGGACAGTAACCCTAGGCAGCAGAGCAGGAGCTGCTTGATTTTCATTTATTTAGAGTGGCTAGGAATTCCAAAGAATTGCCAAGTGTGTAAATGTTTATCTTGAATGTTGACATCAGTACCAGGAGCACAGCATCTTTTTAAGAGCCAAGTTTTCTTGCAGACATTTCCAAGTGTCAGAGTCAGGTGTTGAGATTTGGCTATCAGAGACAGAATGCCTGCATTTCAGGTTGGGCAGAACTATATTTTTTTCCTAGAACCTTGCTATTAAGTTAGTTGTAGTGGGATCTTAACCATATCTGAGAAAACATAAAGCAGATGAGAAAAGTCGTCTAAAAACAAGAGAAGAACCCCAGCACCTGTCCCTGTGTTGCCTCTCTCTACCATGCGGGGGCAGTCGTGTCTTGCATTTCTCATCTTTATCTCAATGTGACAGTTTACCTAGGGGTTTCTTTGCTCTTCACTGTATGTTGCACCTTGTGACTTCCTCTGGGACTTCTTTTGTACTCTCTGCAGAATGTCATCTGATAATCCTCACTGAGAGGATCTGTGGTGAGTGGGAGGTCATTGTCCAGACATTGCCTCTTTTCCCCTATGTCGTATCTGGTTTCTTTCTGCTTCTTTCCCAGGGAGGAGCCTCTGGCCAATGCTGGTCTCTGAAGGATATGCATATTCTTAATAATGAGTCATGGGGTGCAGGTGATCAAGTAAAGCTGAAAGTAATGTGGTCATCATGTGCAATCAATGTAATTGTTTACACGAATAGGAATTTGATCAACTGACTTATTTCCCTATAAAATTGTTTGCTTGCTGGGCTTGGTGGCTCAGCCTGTAATCCCACACTTTGGGAGGCTGAGGTGAGTGGATTGCCTGAGCCCACGGGTTCGTGACCCACCTGGGCAACTTGGTGAGACCTCATCTCTACAATAAATCAAAAACTAGCTGGGCGTGGGAGCATGCACCTGTAGTTCCAGCTACTTGGAAGGCTGAGGCGGAAGGGTCACCAGAGCCCAGAAGGTTGAGGATGCAGTGGCCGGGAGTGACCACTGGACTCCAGGCTGGGCGACAGAGTGAGACTCCAACTCAAAAAAAAATTGTTTGCTGTACTGCCCCAAAGCGTGGTTTCTTTCCACACCAACCTGCTGCTATCAGTGCCTCATGGGCAGACCCTTTTCTCACCAAGCTGCTGCCATCAGTGGCTCCTGTAGGTTCTAATAAACCAATGTCTTTCCCTGATGGACCTCCAGGCAACTTCTCTGGAATATATGAGGAACCTTACATGCAAGCCCTCTCAGTTTTGGTGTTGCCATATTACAATGGGAAACTGAATTCTCGTGTTGTTGAAGATGTCCTTATTTTACCCTTTTGCTTGCATCATAGATTAGCTGGATATAGAATTCTGGGTTTAAAATCATTTCTCTTAGAACTTTGAAAGTCTTGCTTGACTGTCTTCTGACCTCTGTGGGACTTCATGAGAAGTATGGTGCTAACCTGGTTCTTAAGTCTTTATAAGAGTCTCTTTCTTTCTTTCTTTCTTTCTTTCTTTCTTTCTTTCTTTCTTTCTTTCTTTCTTTCCTTTCCTTTCCTTTCCTTTCCTTTCCTTTCCTTTCCTTTCCCTCCCTCTCTCCCTCCCTCCTTCCCTCTCTCTCTTTTGTTCTTTCTTTTCTTTCCTGTTGGAGTCTCACTCTGTTGCTCAGCCTGGAGTGCAGTGGCATACTCATGGCCACCCCAGCGTCGACCTGCTGAGCTCTGGCGATCCATCTGCCTTAGCCTTCCAAGTAGCTGGAACTACAGGCACATGCTACCACACTTGGCTATTTCTTTTCAAATTTATTGTTGCAACAAGGTCTCGCCAAGTTGCCTGGGCTGGTCTCGAAGTTGCAGGCTCAGGCAATCTACTTGCCTCGGCCTCCCAAAGTGCTGGGGTTACAGGCTGAGTCACCAAGCCTGGTCCTCTCCTTCTTTCTTAAGGGATTTATTTTACTTAGCACTGGGTCAAGTTGTGGATCTGTGAAATTTTCTTGTATTATTTCTCAAGTATTACTCCCCATCCTGGAGCTCTTACCTGATAGGTATGAGAACTCTGGATCTCTCTTACATCTCCTAATTTTCTTTTGGAGTGTGTCTTCTATTTTTTTGTACTTCTGCTCTATTTTGGAAAATTTCCCCAGCTTAATCATCTCCCAAGTCACCCTCCAGCTGAGTCCATTCTATTCTTTGGCTTAGTTATGGTTGCTGTTGTTACTTCAGTGGTTAAGTTTAAGAAGTTTAAGACCTCCAGGTGATTTTGTTGTGGATGGATATCTCCAGGTAGCTTTCTGATGACCTTGGCTGCAATTACTGTGGGATTGCGTGCTGCTCACTGTCCTCTTGGCCAGCATGGGTTTGAGTCCTTCTGGTGCCAGTCAATTGTCTCCTTCGATGGTGGCTTCCCCCACTTTAGCCGCATACCCCTTCCCACTTCAACCGCGCACCCCTGCTCTCCCTTTGACTGCACACCTCTCGCCTCTCCCCCTTGGCCATGTGCCTCTCCCCACCCCCACCATATGTGTGCTGAGTTCTGGTGCTGCTGGCCAGGTCTTGCTCAGAGCTCTGGGTGCCGGGCTTTGTGAAGTGAACCAGGGGTTGCTGTCGAGCTGAGAGGCTTTCTTTCTTTTTTTTTTTTTTTTTGAGTTGGAGTCTCACTCTGTCGCCCAGACTGGAGTGCAGTGGCCACTTCCGGCCACCGCAGCCACGACCTGCTGGGCTCCGGCGATCCTTCCGCCTCAGCCTTCCAAGTAGCCGGAATTATAGGCATGTGCTACCACGCCAGGCTGATTTTTTGATTTATTGTAGAGATGAAGTCTCACTGCCCAGGCGGGTCTCGAACCCGCGGGCTCAGGCAATCCACTCACCTCAGCCTCCCAAAGGTGCGGGATTACAGGCTGAGCCACCAAGCCCGGCTGAGCTGAGAGGCTTTCATTCCTCTTGGGAGTCAGCAGTTGCCTGTATGTTGCCTTGTCTCCACTTTGGACACACTTGCCATCTCCCCAGATCTCCAGCAGGGGGTGGGTGGCCCTGCTGGTCATACTTGTTTCTCTCCACAAGTTCCTGATTGGTTCTCCTGCCAGGTGGCAGTTTCTGCCATCCAAGCCCATCTGCATTCCACTTTCAGAAGCTTTCTAGGTGCTTTTCTCCAAAGGCAACTTCCTGTTCGAGCAAGGCCATCTTTTGAGAGACTGGAGGGGGGCAGGTGAAGGAGTGCCCACCTTGACCCAAGGTCCACTGCTTGCTCCCAGCCAGGCTCTCTCTCAACCTGGCTGAGCTGCCTCCAAGGGCCATGTCTTCTCTGACCATCTCTGTGTCATTGGTGCCCAGGAGCAGTTCTCCATGGATGTTCTCAACCAATGGGCAGTAAATAATGGACAGGTCAGTGGCTGGAGTCAGGAGGCTGGTTGAGAGCTGCATGGCCTTCCACCTGGTAATGTCTGAACCAGGGCCTGGCAGGGACAGAAAGAGACTTTTCTTAGAGGAAGGTATGGACAATGGTTTAAAATCATGCTGGTTCAGGCTCAGCCTTCCTGTCTATGACTCAGACAAATAAAACATCTTAGGAATTGGAACCAATATTGTGGGAGTTTAAAAACTACACACTGTCAGCTTAGACCAGCAACTTCAGGTTCTTGTCCTATGACCAGGAGATTGAGGAACGTGGACACCAAAAGGATGAGTGAAAGAAGGGGTTTATTAAGCAACAAATCTCTCCAGAAAAGAGAGGAGACCCAAAATGGGTTACTGGTGCTAGGAGTTTGTGTTTTATTTATTTATTTTTTTGAGTTGGTGTCTCACTCTGTCGCCCAGACTGGAGTGCAGTGGCACGCTCCCAGCCACCGCAGCCTCAACCTGCTGGGCTCAGGCGATCCTTCCCCCCAGCCTTCCAAGTAGCCGGAACTACAGGCACATGCTACCACGCCCGGCTAGTTTTTGATTTATTGTAGAGACAAGGTCTCGCCAAGTTGCCCGGGCGGGTCTCAAACTTGCGGGCTCAGGCAATCCACTCTCCTCGGCCTCCCAAAATGCTGGGATTACAGGCCGAGTCACCGAGCCCGGCCTGTTTGTGGTTTTATGTTATCTTTTCTGGGGACATGTCTCTCATTTACATCCCATTCGCCCCTTACTTCCTGAGACCCAATTTTTGTTGCACATGCAGGTCCTTGACCAAAGTCACTCCATCTTGAATATTATCCATAAATTCCACAGAAAATCTCGGGCATGAGGTGGGCTGGGGTGGGTAAAACCATTTGCAAATGCTATATTAATGATACTATACTAAGCCAAGGTCAAGTTAGGACATTTAGTTAAGTTACTGCTCCTGTGTTTAAGCAGCAAAAAATCCCTTTTAGCAATACATCCTGGGTTGAGAGGATACTCTCAACTTCTCAACCACATTAACCACATTTTCAGCCAACAATTATATAATGGGAGTGGTGCAGGGGGCATTCCCACAGGTGTTGTCTCCTCGAGATCCTTCCTCTCTGCCTGCCTAACCACCTTCTGATTATCTCCTCTCTCACCAACACGTGTGGATTGCACAGCACATTGAGAGTGTTTGGTCCGTTTGTTCATTCCTGGGACGCTTGCCCATCACTGCCTTCATGGACCCATTGTCCTATGCATTGTAAACTGGTGAGAGTGAGAATGGTGTTGTTAGAATCTCAGACTGGGAAGGAGGTAGGCAGCCATGTTCCTGGCATTTGGGCCTCCCAGGACCTCACCTGCTCTGTGGTAGCTCACCCACCTTACCCCTATCTGTGTTTCCTCCACAGCTGGGTGCTCTGACGCCGCTTCACATTGCTGCTGCCCTTCCTGGGGAGGAGGGTGTCCAGATCACAGAGCTGCTGCTGCATGCCATCACTGATGCAGATGCCAAAGCAGCTGACCAGGATGATGCCTACAAACCTGGCAAGGTGCATTGTCTTGTAATACAAGGGAGGAGAGCAGGGACTTGGCCATGTGTGCCTGGGATGGATTCGCACGCAGTGCTCACTCCTGTTCTTGCTGAGTGTGTCAGGCTCTCCTGGAGTTAGGGACAGAGACACTGGAGGTCCTGCTTCAAAACAACCTGCCCAGATGAGAAAGCTTAGCCGATGGGCTGGTTCTGATATCAAAAGGCAGAAGTCATTGATTGAAATAAGTCAGTTAAAAACTGGTTTATTCAGGTAGTTCAGGAGAAAATGGGGGTCTCCATGAGGACTTTTTGCAAGTAACTTGATCTGATGCCTTTCAGAAGGTTCCCCTTTGTGAAAAAAAGTCAGTTCCAGCCTAACTCCAGGGCTGCCTCCAACAGAAGCTGTCTTGCCCTGCTGGGCCAGTTCACCCTGGTCTGGTCCTACCTACTGTCCTTCCTGCCTCTCAGCTGCCTCTGTGCAGTGAGGAGGTGGCCTCTCGCAGTCCCTTCCTCATTCCCCTTGGTCTCCCCACAGTTCCTCTCTGAGAAGGCGGGGGCCTAAGTAGGATCCTGATGTTGAGTTCCCTGAGCAAACTCTGAGCTCGAGTGTCCAGCACAGGGGAGGCTGTTGTCAGGGATGCTTGCTTCACCTTTGACCTGTGTCCAGGGTAGTGACTGACTGTCAGTAGTGTGTGATTTCCTCTCTTCAGGGAGAAGCTGCCAAGCTAGACTTGGCTCCCTTTCATTGACAAGCATTGTGTTCACACAGCCAGCGTGGCAGACACTGCCCAGGTCTCTGGGGACCCAGAGACAGTGGGTTTGCAGGGCATCGAGCTCCCTGGCTGTGAGCCAAACCGGGCTGGCACTCTAAATGCCATGACTGAGAGAGCAGGGCAGGATGGGTTGGCTGCTCGGGGCAGGGTTTCCAGAGGGTGGCACTGCAGCAGCCTCTGGAAGGACAGAGGTAGGCTTGGGCACAGGCATTGTGGAGGCCTGTTAGGGGTGAGCAATGCATGGGATCGGGGTGTGGGTACAGCAGGAAGCCAGAGTGGGGTGGCTGGGTGGTACTTGCACTCCTAGTTCACACTGTGCTATGACTTCTCCACCTGCAAGGCCATCTCTAAAGCCTTCATGGCTGGGAGGCTTTCTGGTCCTCCTAAGCTCTGAAGGACCCTCACCTGTGGTCTGTGAGGGGCTGAGACCCTTGAGGGAGGAGCTCTCTCATCTTCCTCCCTGTGTCCCACAGAGCTTTGTCCAGTACCTGGTACACTGAAGAAACCATTGGGCATGCATACATATGTGGGCATGTGGTGTGCACAGCTCACTATATGGGAGATCTGTGAGGGAAAAGCACAGAATGGCCCTGTCCCTGTGTGGGTGTTAGGGTGGCTTGGAGACAGACACACCAGAGGCCAGGTGTCAGCATTCAAGAGGGTTTGGCAGGATGATCTCCTGCCCTGTAGCCTGGGCAGGAAGTCCACTGGCTCTATCACTGTTTCTGGGGTTGTGGCCCTCCCTGGTAGCACATGGCAGGTCTCTGGGCACTTGGATGAGGCCTCTGTTTACACACAGCTGGACCTGTTGACCTCGAGCCTGAGGCTCAGCAATGAGCCAGGCCCACCTAGCGCCTACTACAGCATGCACACGACCCTCCCGGAGGAGGGGGGCAGGACCGCTCTGCATGTGGCCTGTGAGCGTGAGGACAACAACAAGGTGAGTGGCAACCAAGGACTGGCTGAGTACTAGGGGGCGTAAGGTCACCTGGCAGGGGAGGCTGCCTTTCAGAGCCATGTGCCCACAAGAAGTATGTATTCTCAGGCTTAATCTTAGCCAAATGCCAGGGAGCATTTAAGGATGGGGAACCTCACCGCTCCAGGGCCTCAGAGGACTCTTGTGTCAGATGGGCCTGGGTCAGGCAGGAGCTACGTATCTGTGCATGTGCACAAGTGTGCACATGTGTGTCTAAGTGTGGGTGTACATATGTCTACATGATACATCCGTGCACATGGTCTCTGTGTATATGTGTGTTCTGGCACTGGGCATGGAGGCTGGAGTCCTTTACACTCAGATTGTCCTGTGTAGTCACTGAGCACTGGTGAAGGAGGTGTTCTAGTGATACCTACTGTGTGCCAGGACCTGCCTCGATGGCCATGTGGTCCTGACTATCCCCTGTCCTTGGAAAACAAGCTTTAAATCAATTTCTACATCGATGTTCTTCCTAGTCTCCATCTGGAAATGATGAATGCTTAGAAAGTGTCTCAGTCTGCAAATCAGTTCACCTACCCATCCACCCGTGCGAAATTTAAGATACTTTCTGAGTGCCAGGCAAGGGCTTTGTCTGGAGGAGGTAGCAGTTGAATGACTACATTGATTTTATGACATTTAAATTAATAGTCACTGTCACATGCGCTTTAGGATTGAGGTTGTCTCTCTAAACTGTTGTACTTCTGCCTTTCTCCCCTCCAGTGTGCCAGGGACATAGTCCAGCTCCTTCTGTCTCACAGAGCAAATCCTAACCTGCTGTGGAGTGGCCACTCACCGCTCTCCCTGTCCATCGCCAGTGGGAATGATCTGGTGAGCATGTTCTGCACCCACAGACCTGTGCACATGTGGTGTTTACATCAGTGCCCATCCACACACACACAGTCACTGGGATTTCATGTTGTTGGCCCTTTATGCTTCCACCCGTTCACCCACCACCCATCTGCCCACCTACCCATTTTTTCCTTCATTCATCTACCCATCCACCCACCCCTACTTTTCAATTCATTCATCTACCGCCTGTTTTCCTTTCATCCATCCATCCATCCACCCGCCCACCCACTCACTCACCCACCTACTTACCTACCATCTATCTGTCCATTTATCCATCCATGCTTTCATTTATCTGTTATTTATTGAGCATCTACTGTGTGGCAGGCAGGTACCATTGTAAACAAGAGACATTGAACATCCTTGCTTTCAAGGATCCTACATTCCAGTTGGGGAAATCAGACCATAAACTAGTGGATACCACAATTCCAGGATGCAGAAAATAAAGCTTGGGGAGGGCCTGGAGAATGATGGATGGGTAGTCCACTTTAGCAATATAACAGGGAAGACTTCTCTGAAGAGGTGACACTTCAGCAGAGGTCTGCAGAAGCTGAAGGCATTGGTGTTGCAAGATGGGGCTTCTGAGTACCTTTGCATGAGTCAGTCTCTCTTCTCTTTCCTTCTCTCATGCATGGAATCATTCATTCAACAAATTGTTTGGGGCCTCTTCTCAGGACTAGGCCCTGTTAGAGAGATGGAGGGAAGAGAGCTTTATTCTGAGAAGCAGAAGCTCTTGAGAGCCAAGCATTCTGGACTCATGTCTGACTGTGGCTGTCCTGGCTTCCTGAATGGCATGTGAACTGGTGGCTGAGGACGCAGCAAAGAGCAAGGGAGATGTGCCTCATTCTGTATCTGGTCAAGTGATCACAGTGACACCAGATACCCAGGGAGTGGAGGAAGATGTCCCAGGGACCAAACAGATGTGCTCCTATCCCCCTGCTGGACAGTGGGCAGAGAAAGTGCTGGAACCAGCCCAGTTGGGTGGAGTTCCACCTCCTTTCTAAGGAACCAGCCATGGGACCACTCCCTGCACAGTGTCGTCCTCTGTAGGACAGGCCAGTGGTGAGAACTGTGCATGGGATGCATGGGAAGGCCCAGCTCAGAAGACTTAACTCTGTAAGGTGAGGAGACATGTGGCTACTAATAAGCCTCTCTGTGTGTCCAGATCGTGAAGGAGCTCTTGGCCAAGGGAGCTGACCCCAACCTTCCCCTTACCAAAGGCTTGGGCAATGCCTTGTGTGTCGCCTGTGACCTGACCTATGAGCACCAGAGGAGCATGGAGAGCAAGCTGGCCCTGGTGAGGGGGGCAGACTGGCTTTGGGGAAGGGTATGGAGGGTGGGCCAGTCCTGGAGGTACAGGGGGGCAGATTGGGCTTATGGATGGTGGATGGAGGTATCTGGGGGGTGTGGCCCTCGTTGGTTCCCCTTGTCTGGCCCTCATTCCTGGCGGGTGGTGGTCCATTTGGTCTGTGTCCTCCAAGCCTTCATGGTCTCAATAGTGGAGAAAGAACAAATATTGTCTTCACTTTAATATTTTATAGGCTCTAAAAAATGTCAAGTGGCACAACCCGTCAACAGGTCAAACAAAAGTTCCCTGAAGTTTGTTCCAGTGAAAACAGGTTTCATGACAGATACAGGCCCTCGCTTTAGTCAGCTGCACAGTCTAGCTTTTTTGATATTGTGGATCAGGAAACCTGGTGCCTGCACCTGCTGGGTGGGGATTTCAGGAGTGGCATTCTCTGGTTATGGGAAATGGTTTTCTTGTGGTGGATGCTTCATGCACCAGCAGTTACTTTCTCCTGGTTGACTCAGATGTTAACTGAGAGATAACTGTGATTTGTAGAACCCATGGTGACAATCTCATCTACGTTGGAGATCTGCTTTCTGTCCTGAGCCTTTCTGCCTTCTACCCTGGTAGTGTCAGTGGCTAGGCACATCCCTCTGCATCCCTCCCACCTCCATTCTTTGGGAACTCTCTGTAGGCTGCTCAGCTTGGGCAGAGCCTTGCTCTATGCCCTGTTGCACACTGCCCTCTGCCCATGCTCACCCCTTCCCATGTCCATGTGTGTGTGCACCCCCCATGGGTACTGCCTACAGCCTTGCTTCCCTCACTCCATCTTGGTACTACTTTGGTTCTACCTAGCTGTGAGAGGAAGACAGAGGGAGGGGGAGCGAGAGTCAGGTGTCTGGAGGGCTGTTTGACTTCATAAAAGTGTATCTTAAAAAGGATTAAGACCTTTTGTCCTGAGATGCTGTTTCTGGATCCAGTTTTAAAGTAACTTGTCCTTTACCCCAGATCCTGTCTGTCCTGTCCAGGATAGTCTAGATGAGGCTATAGCCATCTGGATCTCCATAGCATCCCTGTATTTCTTATTTTTCTTACATCTTCCCGGAGTTACTTTGTTCAGGGTTCAGTAGTCTGTTTAATAGACTTGTATCTGGACACCAAAACTGAATTCCTATCAGTTTAAGGGTTTTCCTGCTGATATTTTTTTCCTAAATAGAGAAGTATGCAGTCTGACAATTAAGTTTGTGAACTGTCCCCATGTGCTCACATTGACAGCACTGTACAAACAACCTGGTAAGGTTTCATAACCTTGGTGTATCAGTGTCTCACAATTGTATTCATGTTGTCTGTGGCGGTGTCTTGCTGAGTGGTGTTCATTATTGTTGTTGCATGTTTTTGTATGCCATAACAAGAATGCTGAAACTTGAATTAGAGCAACAAACAAACTTTATATTTCTTGTTAAACTTGGAAAGAGTAGAGATGAAATCAGGAATGTGTTAGTCAAGTTTATGAGGATAATGATGTGAAGGAACTGGCAGTGTACAAATGGATTAAACGTTTTTCTGAGAGGAAAGAAAGCACCACTGATAGAGGGTTCAGGATGACCAGTAATGAGCAGAACTGATGAAAACATTGCAAAAATTTATCAAATTGTATGCCAAAATTGTCAGTTGATTGTGAGAAACATAGCAGACCAAATAAACATCAATAGAGAAACAGAAAAATCTTAACTGAAAATCTTGGCATGAGAAGGATGTGTATAAAAATCTTGAAGGAGCTCTTGAATCATGACTACATGAGCTCACACAGCATTGTCTGTGAGGGAGTTTTTAGCCAGTAGACAAATAATTGTATTGGAACACTCTCCCTACTCTCCTGATCTGTTCCCCAGTGACTTTTTTCTTTATTGGAAGATAAAGGAAATATTGAAAGTAAGACATTTTGATGACATTCAGAACATCAAGGGTAATATGATAACAGCTCTGATGGCCATTCCAGAAAAAGAGTTCCAAAATTGCTTTGATGGGTGGACTAGGCACTGGTGTTGGTTGATAGCTTCCTAAGGGGAGAACTTCGAAGGTGACTGTAGTGATATTCAGCAATGAGGTATGTAGCACTTTTTCTAGGATAAGTTTATGAACTTAATTGTCAGAACTTGTGTATTATCTGCAAATAATGACATTTTTGTCCTTTCTTTTCCAACATATTTAATCTTTTTTTTTTTTTTTTGAGTCGGAGTCTTAGTCTCACCCAGACTGGAGTGCAGCGACATGCTCACACCCAGATTGTGCAGGGGTCCAGCCCCTGCCAAAGGCGTGAGGTTTCCTGAAGGAGAGACGGATAGGCAAAAGATGAAAATTTTATACTCGGCACCTGCTTGCTGAACAGATGCCGTTTAATTTTGGCTAACGGAAAGCTTTTATACCATTTGTAAAGGGGCAAGACAAAGAAAATTCCTTCACATACATATCCTTTAAAAGTTACCCCCATCTAGTGGTCTTAGCAACAAACAAGCCAAGAACCCTATAAACATTCAGACAATGAGTCTTATTCATAAAGCCAAAAATGATAGTTTTAGTCCAAAGTCTGGAATTATAGTCCTTGAAATGCCTCAAGAAAGTTTCCAAGTGTAAATTTCTCTATGTAGCAGTAGTTTTTCTCTCTGGGGCTTCTATGACCTTCAGAACTTTGTAATCGCCTCTCTTGTCCAGGTGTCTTCGTTACTTTTCTCTTATCCTGCAATGTTTACTTCTAAAGAAAACTCAAAAGAAGTTTTTAGTGATGTTTCCTAGGCCCCCAAGGTTGCTTTCTGTCTTTAGTTAGTTTATCATAAAAGTATCCAATTAGTATATTATGAATTCAGTGAAAACCCACTCTGTAAACATTAACTTAGATTTTTAACTATTGAATTAAGTAAAAACCTTAACGGTTAATCTTCATCCTAAATCTGTGAAAACAGTGTTATAAATCACCTACATAACTCCTAGATAAGTGTTAGAACTTATAATGAACTTACTATAAACTTGTGCTTCTAAAAAACCTTATGTCTAAACACTAAACTACATAATTCTAAATCAAATGAGTGAATATACTTATATCATTTTTACTCAAGCAATATCTAGTAACTTATAACCAAGTGAAAGAAAGCATTTTTCATGTGCTTCAGAGTTTAACCATTGCATTTGTTAGAAAAGGCCAAGCAGCATAGTGGGAAATGGAAAAATGAACCATGACATTTCCATGGTTCATTTTTCCATTTCCCACTAGGTTAGCTGTGAATACTTCACATAAAAATACCATTTTCTTCTTCTACGACTGTACAGAATTCTTCAACTGTACCAAACAGCAAAGATGGAAGACAGAAGGGCCTCAGCTTACTGGGCTCGCACTGTGGCCCGGGGTCTTCGGCCCACCAGGACCCTGTCAATCAGGTGGGCCTCCAAGGCTGGCTCCCAACAAGATTGGAGTGCAGTGACATGCCCTTGACCTGCTGGCTTATGCGATCCTTATGCCTCAGGCTTCCAAGTAACTGGAACTTCAGGCATGCTACCATGCCTGGCTAATTTTTTGATTTATTGTGAAGATGATGTCTTGCCAAATTTTCCAGGTTGGTCTCAAACCCCTGGGCTCAGGCAATCCTCTCACCTCCACCTCCCAAAGAGCTGGGATTGTAGGCGTGAGCTACCATGCCCGGCTGTTGTTTTTAGGAGTTCTTTATACATATTTTGGATGTTAATTCCTTATCAAATATATATAATTTGCAAAAATGTTCTCCCTTTTTGCAGGTTTTACTTTGTTAATAGTGTCTTTTGATGCACAAAAGTTTCTAATTTTGTAAAGTCCAATTTGTCTAGTTTTTCTTTTATTGCCTATGTTTTGGTGTCGTATCTGAGAAACCATTGACAAATACAATGTCATGAAGCTTTCCTTCTGTGTTTTCTTCTAAGAGTTTTATATTTTTTGCTAGGAATTTTAACAAATGCTTTCAGTAGCCTCTGGGAGAATCTGTTTCCTTTTCTGTTATTCTTTCATGTGATGTGATTCTGTGAAACATTCTGAGTCCTCCTGAAACCTAGGGGTGTCCCTGATTTGGTTATATATGCAGGGATTTCAACATCTGCTGGAGGAGACATTCCCTATAGTTTTCTTCGAATGTTTTTGCATCTATGTTCCTAAGTGCAGTCAGATGATTGTTTTCATTCTTTTCCCTCCTCTTTCTTCTTGTCTGGTTTTGGTTTGGCTGCTTTCCAAAGAAACCTATGACTACATAAATGATGGTGATATAGGACCCTTTTGCTAGAGTCCTGGGCTGCCTGGGTCCTCACAATGCCTTCATCTCCCACTTCATTTTGCTCTTCAGGCTGCACAGAACCTTTTTGTTTTGGGGGTCTTCTTCTGGGCACTCATTCACAGCATCTGTTTCCTGTGACTGCCGCAACAAATCACAAACTAGGTGACTGAAATAACAGAAGTGTGTTGTCTCATGATTTTGGAGAATGGAAGTCTGAGATCGAAGTGTCAGCAGGGTAGATTCCTTCTGAGGTTGTGAGGGTGAATCTGGTACAGACCTCTCTCCAGCTTCTGGGGGTTTGCGGCCCGTCTTTGGTGTTCCTTGGTCAATCTCTACTCTACCTTCAGTGTTACATGGCATTCTTCCTGTGAGTATTGCATTTCTGTCTCTGTGTCCAAATGTCCTTTTTATTTTTTTTAAATAAAGACAACAATCATATTGGGTTAGGTACTACCCTAATTACCTCATCTTAATTTAATCCCCTGCAAAGACCCTATATCCAAGTAAAGTCATATTCACAGGTCCCAGGGATTAGGACGTCAACATATCTTCCTAGGGGACCATTCAGATGACTTTGGCATATTATTTTTCCCTCTCCTTCTTTTGCATAGCTGTTTTCTCATCCACAGCCTGTAGTGAGCACATGGGACATATAGGTCTGAGGTAGAGCTCATTCAGGGTCTGTGGTCATCAGACCTCCAGAGTATTCTCACAGTAATCTTTCTAAAGATTGTCCCAGAAGTGAAAATGTAAAACTTGAGCATTGTCCTGGGGACCCTGCAACCCCCAGGGGTTCTCCCTCCATTAGGAAATGGGTGCAGCATTCCATATTTGTCTTTGGATGACCAAAGAAGGGGCTCTTCAGAACATCAGTTGGCAGTGTTTGGAGAACCGCCACTGTAGAAAGGAACGTTCATTAGCTGATGGTGAGGGTTGGAAGGGACCTTCAGAAAGTTCCTCCCTCAATGTGGCTTTTTTGTGTCCCCCAGGGGAAAAAACTACTCTTCTCATGAATGTTTCCAACCCCTTTCACTTGGCAGGCCTTGTTTAGATAGGAGGCCCCTGATTTTTCTTATTCCAGGGCAGAGCAAATCCCTCTGAAGGACCAGTGTTCAACTCCACTGATTCTAAGCGTCTCCTCAGAAGCATGTACTGGGTTGGTCAGCCTCTGTCCACTCCTTCCCTAATGGGGATGGGAGGTGGTCAGACGACTGGCTACTCAGCATGACTTAGGATCTCAGAGGCTGAGCCCCCTGGCTGATTTCTAGAGTGTGCCAATAGTGTTGACATCTGAAGAGGCGTGAAGGACAAAGCCACTGAAGAATTGGACTCCAGGGAGGGAGGGGCCTGTTGGTTATCCCATTGCTAAGCTGCAGTGAGGGAGGAGGCTAGAGAGTCTGAGCAGGGGGAGGCTGTGACTGGGTGATGTGGAGGCAGGGGTGGGGCTGAGTCTATGATATCATAGTTCAGATGGGTGGGCACAGGGAGGGTCTGGAGAAGAGTGGTCCAGCGAACACTGCTGGTCTCCATGGGGAGGATCTTGTAGCTGGGTCATGGTCAGACCCTGTAGGATCAAGTAGTCCAGTCACTTTTCCCTGGTCTTAGAATAGTTTAGCACAGGGACAACAAGGTGTTTTGTTTCGGTTCTTACCACAGATGATGTGGTCACCCAGGACAGCAAGAGCCAGGGTGAAAGAAGAGGTCCTCAGTGAGGGAGGACAGATTGGCAGGCAGGGGTTGTTGGAGAGGGGAGAGTTTCCCTCCCACAGGAGATGGCCTTGGGAGGGAGTAAGGATGGGGGACCTAAGATGTGAAGGCCCCAGGCTAAAGCATGCATTGCACACAGTTCTAGGGCTGTGTGTATATCCTCAGTGACTTCCAGGTGTCAGCGATCCATATGGACAGGCAGTGGAAGAATCCTATAGAGGCACCTGAGATGTGGGGAAGTGGAGGGTCTGAGGGATGATGTTTCAGACAGAAGCATCATCGCTCCTGGGATTTGGGCCAGAGGGCAGAACAGTGTAAGGCCGAGAGGTGAAGCTTAGGGGCTGCCCAGTGGCCAGGCTGGAGATCCAACAGGGAGGGAGTTGGCTGCATCACTGCCCAGGGCTAAGCTGTCCAGGGGCATTGTTCCAGTACCAGAGTGAGTGAGGCCCAGGTGCTCTGTGCTTGTCAAGACAAGACGGTGGGATGGAGTGGGCTGGTGAAGGATTGATCCATCATCTACACACCTGCCTCTACCTGCACCCAGCCCATGCCCACCCACTGTTTGCCCCACCTTCCTCTGAAAAGTGTTTGGCAAGGTGGTGGGGCCTTGGAGGGATGTCTAACAGGGAACTGACCCATCAAACAGAACTTTTGGCAAGTTGTTGTGGCTTTAGCTTGAAGGAGAGTTAAAGAGAAGGGGTGGGGGGGGGAGGGGTCTCTTGGGTAGATCAGGGCAGCTCCTTCCCAAAGGCCAGTGGGAAACTGGCTCCTTTCCTCCCTGCCATACTCCTGGCATGGCCTCACCAATGCCTTGACAAATCTGTGTACACACTCCACTCACGCTCCCTGTGCTCCAGGGAGTCGTCCCCTCTGGCCACTGGTGTTGGTGGTATTTGCTATCCCCCAGTGCCTGGTGCCATACTCACGGCATTGCACTTGTGATATTGCTGAGAATTCAGGCTTCTTATATTTGTATAGCATGAATGTTCAACATGGACACAGAGAGTGTGGGGAACTCATTGAGGGAGTAGTCATGCAGCCCAAAATTATGATCCTGCAAGCACCTATTTGGTAAGGCAACCGTAGGTCACGTGTGAGCATCCTGCAGACCACATCCTGGTTTTCCTTTCATGCTGGGCTGCCCTGAGCCTAGGGGGGCCCTTGTGATGGAATTTGCCTCCTCCCTTATCAGTGGGAATCTCTGTTAGGTGCCAGTTGCTTTAGATGGAATTGGTGATAAACCTTGAGACAAAGACAGTTGCTGTAGTGCTTGCCACAAGTCATGCACACGCACATGCAGGCACGCACGTGCAGGTACTCTTGCACCCATCCACAAATGTGCATGCATGCACAAACCCATGCACCAACTGTGATCACACACATGCCCACACATACACACACCCACTCATACACACCCGCATGCATGCTTACATGCATGTGCATGCACACATGCAAGCACATCTATGTGTTCACTGCCCTTTTGAGCCCCCCTGCAGGCATGTTGGGATATGACAGAGACAACGATCTGCTTGGTGCTTGCCTTCAGGTCACTTACAGTCCTGGGGAAGCTGGATTGTTACCAGACCTCTTGGACTCTGGAATAATTCCACAGTGCTGGGTGTGGGGTATCAGGGAGGGCTCCCTGAGGTGTGGCCTAGCTTGACTTTACTGTGATCTCATATGATGAGGCTCAGACCTATCTTCTTTCTGTGAGGTCAGTCAGGCTTCCCTGTTTGTCTTGTAATGCTCCTGCAGAGCTGCGAGAATGGCCTCTGCGGGAATGCAGGTGACCACAGTAGCTGCTTTCCTGCGGGGGAAGTTTTTGGACTGCTCTCCTGCCATCTGGGGAGTATGTAGACAGCACCTGGAAGGCGTCAGCAGGCACGGACACAGCCCAGCAATGCCCTCTGCCCCATTTGGATTCCTCCCCAGGTGGTGCTTCTCCCACTTCCAGCAGCCGAGGCATCCTCATGGGTTTGACATGGTTCTGTTCTTTGTAGATTGACCGACTCATCCATCATGGGGCCGACATCCTGACGCCCGTGAGGCTCACGCAGGGAGACAAGGTGGCAGTGGGCACGGCTGTCGACTACGGCTATTTCAAATTCTTCCAGGTACAACTGTTCATCTTATGGGGAAAGAAGTGGAGTGTGCATCACAAACAGGGTACTCTGGGCAGACCTTAGCTTTTCTGGGGTGAAGCTGCGCTCAAGGTCTCTGATGCTGCCCCCAAAACCAGCCTCCTATCTGCAGGGAAAGAGCCCAGCAGTGCTGAGTTGAATAGGGTGCAGGTGTGTGTGCTCCCAGGTACGTGTGTGTCTGAGTTCAGCCTCACTATTATGTATCATGAGAGCAGAGGGATGCCCTTGCCACCCAAAGTCACTTCTGCAGGAATGGGGACAGCCCTGAAGGTGACCCTAGTGCTATGCTGCAGGACCGCAAGATTGCCCACTGCCCCTTCCATGCGTTGATGCCAGCAGAGCGTGAGACGTTTATAGCGCGGAAGCGGCTCCTGGAGTACCTGGGCTTCCAGCTGCGGCTTGCTGTCTTCAACAAGGAGAGCCAGTGGGACGCCACCACGCTGTGCCTGAGCAAGAGAGGTGAGTACCAGACCCTGCTTTGCTCATGCCTGTGGTGGGAGTCCAGCTGTACTCCCTGGAGATAAGGACTCCCTGGGGCTGCAGAGGGGCCTTTCCTGTTACTGGACCTGTCCACTGGCCCCTGTGTGCCTACCCTCCAAGGAGGTCATGTAGGAGACATGGAGGAGAGGGGGCTGGGCTGGGGAGAAATGCCTGGGAAGAGGAGTTGGTGGCCCAGGTCCAGGGCCCAGACAGAAGGAGTCTAGGAGGGGCCTTAGTCCACTTCAGAAGCCCCTCTTGGAGCTCCAGGGGACGAGTGGGCCTGAGGCCTGGGGGGAGTGCTCATCTATCTGCATGTCTGCATGCATCCCACATGACCCATCCCCTACGCACCCACACAGGAGCCCCCAATTCTTCTCATGTACCCATCCCCATATCCACATCCATACCCCACACGCTTACACACCTACTGACTCCCATGGACTGACACCCACACCCATCCTCTCCCCTCAGAACTCCCACATATTAACATATGTGCATGCACACACATGCAAGCCCAGTGATCCCACCCCCCAGCATTCCTCCATACCTAGTCCTCATGTGCACGAGCCCACCCACAGCCCCCTCATAGCCCCATGCTTACCACCCCCTGCCTTTCTACCACACACAGTGCTGCATCCCACACACACTCATGTTGCCCACTGTCTTCATGCGTTCTTGTTACCATAACCAGATATTCAGAAAGAAAAGGAATTTGCTTCTCAATCCTGGAGGCTGGAGCCCAGGATCAAGGTGCCGGCAGGCTGGGTGTCTGGTGCGGCTGCTGTCTGCTCCAGGATGGCACCTTGACACTGTGTCCTCATGGGCAAGAGGCAAGTGTGAAAGGGAGCTGGCTACTTCCCTCCTTTTTGTACTTTTTCTCCTCTTCCAGGCAGTTCCTCTGCTTTCAGCACAGTGTCCTCCCCGTGAAGAATGGCCCTGCTTCCCCAACTGGGACTCCAGTCAGTTCACCATGGGATTGTACTGGCCAGTCATAGTACAGGGATATGCCACTTCATGGCTGCCATGTGCAGACTCTGGCCCTCTGACAAGTGGCCCCCATGGCCCAGTCACCCTTGAGGCCCCACTGTTCCTGCTGTGGGGAGCTAACCTGAATTCTAGGAGCTGCCCCAAATTTTAGGAGCTGCCCTCATTCCAACCACACTACAATCCACAGTCCCCACAGCTCTCAGCAGCCCACCTACTCACCACAGCCACTCTCACATACCCACCCACATATTCACACACCACACCCCACAGCAACACACATACAGGAACACACTACATCCACTACACATATGCACATGAGCTACACACAATCATGGACACACAGCTTCCCATCCCATCCTGACCCACCACACCTATATATATAACACAGTCCACCCACTCACCACACCTGCCCTCATATGCCCACCCACACACTCATAGCATACCACAACACACCCACAACACCTATGGCAACACACATACACCCACACACACCCACACTCACCCTCTACACACATACATACAGACCCCAAACCACACATATGCACACTAAACTCACATAACCACACATTCACAGTAACTAAAATAACGACACACACTCCACACACATGCACACTGACCCCCCCACTCTACATACATATGTATGAACCCCAGATAACCCCACACACACTCTGCACACATACATGCTAACCCCACATAACACACACTACACTCACATGCACATTTACCCCACATAGCTACACATGCTTCACACACATGCACATTAACCCCCCCACACACTCACCTTCACACACATGCATTCTAATCCCATATAACCACACACACACTTCATATATGCACTAACCCCACACAAACACATACATACTCCACACACATGCACACTAACCTTACATAACCACAACATACACTCTGGACATGCACACATGCTCACTAACCCCACACAACATACATACACTTGCCTTCATGCACATGCACACAAACCTTATATAACAATACACACACTTCACACAGAGGGACACTAACCCCACACACAGCACACACATGCACACTAACCCCACTATCCTCGTACACACTCCACACACATGCACACTAATCATATATCACCACATACACACGCTACACATGCACACTAACTTCATATAACCACACATACACTCCACACATGCATACTAACCACACACAAACACACTCACCTTCACACAACCACACACTAACCTCACATGAAGCACACACACACCACACACATGCACATTAACCCCACAGAAGCACATACACGCTTCACTCACATCACAGTAGCCCTACATAATCACATATAAGCTACACACGTGTACTCTATTCCCACACAAAAACACACACTCCACACATATGCACACTAACTCTACATAACCATATACACATACTCCATACACATGTGTTCTTGCTTCACACAAACACACACACTCCACACAGGTGCACAGTTACCACACAAGCACACACACGCCCTTCATGTACTTACACAGAAACCTCACATAAACACACATACTTACCCTTCACACTCACACTAAATTCATATAAATATACACACACAAAAGCACACAAACCCCACGTAACCACTCACACTCCACCCACAGGAACAAATATGCTCCCCATATTTTTTTTTTAAAGGGTTAGGTCCAGAGACGTGAAAGACCTTTACAATGAAAACTACAAAACACTGCTCAAAGAACTCAAAGATGACACAAACAAATGGAAAAAATATTCCTTGCTCATGGATTGGAAGAATCAACATTGTTAGAGATGTCCATCTTACCCAAGGCAATCTACAGATTTAATGCAATACCCATTACATTACATCAACATTCTTCTCAGACCTGGAAACGACAAACAGGAATTCATATGGAAACATAAACAGCCATGAATTGCCAAAACAATCCTCAGGAAAAAAAAAGGTCACACTCCCAGGCTTTAAACTTTATTGTAAAGCTACAATAATCAAAACAGCCTGGTATTGGTACAAGAACAGGCATATAGAGCAATGGAACAGAATGGATATTCCAGAAGCAAAACCTTAATTTCTCAAACAACTCATCTTTGACAAAGTCTCCACCATCAATGACTAGGGAGAGGAGAACCTATTCAGCAAATGGTGCTGGGAAAACTGACTGACCATATACAGAAGATTAAAACAAGACCCCTACCTATCACCATACACAAAAATTAACTCTAAATGAATCAAAGATCTAAATGTAAAATCTTAAACTATAAGAACCTTAGAAAATGCAGAAGATACCCTTACAGAAATTGGAACTGGCAACCAATTCCCAATCAAAACATCAAGTGCCCATGCCATAAGAGAGAAGATAGACAAATGGGACCTCATCAAACTGACAAGCTTCTACAAAGCCAAAGAAACCATCAAGAGAGCAGGGAGACAGCCTACAGACTGAGAAAAAATATTTTGCCAACTGATGTCTGACAAAGGCCTAAAATCTAGGATCTACAAGGAACTCAAATGTGCTGAAAAGAAAAAAAAAACAAACAGCCCCATTACAAAGTGGGCAAAAGATATGAACAGACAGTTCACAAAAGAAGACATACAAGCAGCCAACAGATACATGAAAAAACTGCTCAACCTCACTAGTCACCAAAGAAATGCAAATTAAAACTACACTGAGATACCACCTAACTCCAGTCAGGATGGTCATCATCAATAACTCAAAAAACAACAGATACTGGAGAGGATGCAGCAAAAAGGGAACACTTCTACACTGTTGGTGAGAGTGTAAACTAATACAGCCTCTGTGGAAAACAGTGTGGCAATGCCTAAAATATCTAAAAATTGACCTTCCATCCGACCTCACAATCCCTCTACTGAGAATACATCCGGAGGAACTCAAATCCTTCTATGAAAAAGATACCTGCACTTATGTTTATTGAAGCATTGTTCACAATGGCAAGAACCTGGAACCAACCATGCTGTCCATCGAAAGAGGACTGGATAAAAAAAAAAAGTTCATTATGCAGGTACCCTTGTTGATGAGGTGTGCCCCCTCCTCTGGCAGATTCCTACTACTGTCAATCCCTTTCTTATAGCTGTTCAAGGTCCGCTTATGAGTGAGAACATGTGTCACTGAGTTCTTTGTTTCTGTGATAGATCACTCAGTATTATAGCCTCTAAGGTCATCCAAGTTGCTGCGAAGTTCATAATTTTGTCCTTCTTTATGGCTGCGTAATATTCCATTGCATATATGTACCAAATTTTTTTTATCCAGTCCTCTTTCAATGGGCAGCAAGGTTGGTTCCATGTTTTTGCTATTGTAAATAATGCTGCAATAAACATGCATGTGCAGATATATTTTTCATAGAGTGATTTGAGTTCCTCTGGGCATATTTGCAGTAGGGGGATTGTGGGATCGTATGCTCCCCATATCTTTATATCTACAGCCTAATACCTCCCAATCCACCACACCTCTATATACCCTCCCCACCCACATATGCCTAGGTGCCCATGCACGTGTCACTCAGCCTCATGGTCTCACCCATGGTCTCCACACCCTGCTATGTGTTCTTCTGTCCTCCTTTCACATGCCCCGTGAATATAATTCCCCTTTATGCATGGGTCTGCCCACCTCAACACACACCCCACCCCACATAATCTCCCATCTACCCACACTGCTACCACCCCATCCCTAGCTACAACTTCCCCTTGCACACATACACACGTACCCATCCACCCCCACACATACCAATCCACATGTCGCTGTCACCTACATGCAATTCACTTGTGTACATGAAACCACTGCACTCACCCAACCTCGTGCCCCCTCACTCACAACTGTTCCTACGTACATAGCAGCCCCTGTGCCCCCACACGCATCCAAGAATCTGGCCACACACACATGGCCACCTCTGTCCCTCACCAAAAGTCAAACCCACCCATACCTCATCCATAGCTTCTGCCAATACACCACACAATCTCATGACCATGTGTGCACATTTACCCACTTGGATGCTCACAACCCTTACACATAAGCATCCAACACCCAAATACTCTACAGATATATTAACTCATCCACAGCCCCACACACCTGCCTGCCTGCTCCCACAGATATTTACCAGCCACATGCCCACCCACACACTCTCACACTCCCCAACACTTATACCTCCACTCCACACAGCTATATGCATACCCACCCACACATGTGGGCCCTCCACCCAGCACCCCACTCAGCACCCCTATATCCTGCCCAACCAGAATCCACACATGTGCCCCCCACATACACATACTAACACCCCACATCCGTCCCCTGAACCTACTTATGTACTATCACACATACATATTTCCCCACACACCCACCCTATCCCCACCCCAGCCCCTCATACACATACTAACTCATCCACTACCACCCATAGTTCCACCTTCCTTACCCAAACACACAGCCATGAACCACTCCTATAATGTATCCTCCCTACACATACCAACTTCCCCCAATACAAACATAAACTTTCCCCAACTGTCTCACCCTCATACTCACCAACCACACACATCCAGGTTCACCTGTTGCTGAGGCTCCATTCCTGGTCAGGGTGACTGCAAGTGAGGCCTCTATTTGTGCACAGCCTTGGACATTACATCCCTGAGTATTCTGGGGCTCTGAATCCTGGTTCATGGGCTCTAGTTCATGGGCAGAAGAACAGGCAGGGAGAGGCAAGAAGAGAAGACCTGAGTCCACTGCTTCCTGACTTCCACCAGAAAGTAAATCCCAAGATGGATATGTCCATTTTAGAGAAGCTTGCCATTGTCCCCACCTCCTGTTCCAGAACTTTGGCTCAGAGATTTTGCCTGGGGAGAGCTAGACCATAAAACTGAGAGCTTCTAATCGTATGGTGAAGAAATTGACTTCATTTTCAACAGAGCAAGGACAAATTCAAGCCTAATGATGACAGGCAATTAGGGAAAGATT